CACTCGGGCTCACTCAGCTAAGACAGGGTTTCCAACCCCAGGTATTTCTCATTCAATCTCTCAATTTCCAAACCGGTTCATATTATGTTTTACAGTTAAGAATATGACTGAGAGTATGAATTCAACAAGTAAAGTGAGGTCAACTAGCACAACATACCCCCTAAGGGTTCTACAGATCGGCACAAGGCCCCAAACATGGCAACTAGCCCAAAATATACTGATATTAATTAAGTCTCAGTCAAAAATATAGCAGAGTCATCAATCGGGATGGACCGAGTCCGAATCCCCAGCAGTAACAACACCACGCTCATCATACAGCGCGTATCTCATCTAAACATAGCACCACGTAGTGCAAATCCGGGGTTTCAAACCCTCAGAACATCATTTATAACCATTACTCACCTCAAGCCGGCCGAACTCCTAGCTCGCCTTGCGCTTCCTTCGCAAATCCACCTCCTCGTGCGTAGAATCTGGTCAAACCCACAAGGAATACATCACAATAGGCTAAGGGAACATAACCCAATCGAAAAGACTCGAAAATTATCAAAAATCACGAAGTTGGTAAAACCCGAGCCCCGAGCCCACTTCTCGAAAAATTACGAAATTCACATCACCGGATTCCTCGTCTCGCCACGAGTATCAAATTTACCAAAATCGGAGCTCAAATGCCCCCTCAAATCCCAAATTTTCATTTCAAAAGTCAAGCCCTAGTTCTTCCAATTTTACTCAAATTTCCATGAATTTAAAGGTTGATTCTTCAATAAAATGATGTTTCTAGGCCATAGGACTCACCTCCAATCAATTCCTGTCGAAACCCTCTTCAATTTCTCCCAAAATGCTCTCAAGGTGCTCAACAATCGAGGAAAATGGACCAAACTTCGCGGATGAAATAATATAAAAACCCTTCTGCCCAGGTGAATTTTACTCNATTCCGACCCCCGGATCAAAATCTCACCTACCAACCGGAATTCGCCAGAATACTAACTTCGCCAATTCAAGCCTAATTCTACACCGGACCTCCAAAACCAATTCCAATCGCACTCCTAAGTCACAAATCATCCCCCAAAGCTAACCGAATCACCAGAATTCACATCCGAGCCCTCTAACTAAATAGTCAACTTTCGGTTGACTTTTCCAAAACAAGCTTTCCTTTAAGAGACTAAGTGTCTCATTTCCATCTAAAACCAATCCAATTCGACTCGATCACCTCAAATACCGATAATGAAGCATAGAGAAACATAATATGGGGGGAATGGGGCGGTAACTCACGTGACGACGGGCCGGGTCGTCACAAAAATAAATTTGCAATATTACTAAGAAAAAATAGGATATGAAGTAGAATTATCATATAAAGTAGTAGGATAAAGAACAAAGTATAATTATTTAATAATAAGGAAGGAAAAAATGAGAGAAAAAATGAAAGTAATGACGCCATCACAACAAATTCATCGTTACATAAAGTGACATTTTTCGTCGTTACATAATTACGGATTTAATGATGCTGTACAATAAAATTTTAGTAACAATCAAAACGAACATTATATATAAAGTAACAATACGATACAATACAATAAGTAACAACTATCAAAACAAGCGGTAAATATTCGGTTTGAATATTGCATTCCAAGTTAGAATATTGTAGTATGTTTAGATTGAATATTGTATTCCAGATTAGAATGTTGTGGTATGTTTACTTTGAATATTATATTCTAAATTAGAATATTGCGGTATGTTTGGTTTGAATATTATATTCTAAATTAGAATATTATTGCATGTTTGGTTTGGATAGTTTATGCATTCCAAATTACAATTGTGGTATATTTAGTTTGAAAATTGTATTCTTGACGAGCGCAAAACATAACACGAAATTGACGCTCGCTAATCAAAGATATTATAGTATAATATCGTCTCCACATGGATTTATTTTAAACAATGTTCGAGTAATTCTTGGTTTAATTGCTATTCAGGAGTTTCAACACTTGAGTTAAATGATTATGAACTACGTTAACTACCAAAGTAAAGCAATTGAAAATTGACGGCAAGGAATTAGAGATCCACAGATTTAGTTTCTTATCAATGTGAGGAATAAGGGTCGTGACACGATAGGTTCAAGATAGCTATTTGGGATATAAATCTAGTTTAATTCACTCTAATATTCTAATGATTCTTACGAATTCACTCGATGATTAGTTCAAACGTGTATGCAAGACTCCTCTCTCGATTAAATCTTAACTCTACGAGGTGAACTAATATAAGCATTGTGAAGCATGTCAGCATGCGTTAATGGATTGGTCTGTAGGAAAACGTCTCTCGAATATTCTCCTAACTTGATTTAATCAACAATTCAACAAGATCTTCTGATTACTTAAGAGAATCAATGAATTAAATTAAATTAAATAATGCAAAGATAATCACCAAGATATTCCTCTTTCGATTAAATAATCTGACGAATAAAGTTGCAACAATTCAAAACTCCAAAAACGAATTCAAGCACGAAATAGAGTTAAAATCCACAAATATTTATCAAAACACCATATCCATCAAACCCTAAGGTAAGCTACTCCATAATCATTGAGAAAGTTATCACAATTATAATTGAAGAATAAGAAAGCATGAATCTAACTTTACAATCCAAACTCTCATACTGAATTGATGGAAAGATGATGAAATCTCGTGTCTTGTTGCCCCCAATGTTCTCCCAAAGATTTCAAGGTATAAGTCCCTTCAAAAATGTGTTTCCAGTGTATTTATACCAAGTAGGAATGAACCCAGATGAAACTATCCTCTTTGAGCCGAAGTGGAAAACCTACAAACTTTTAACACTTCATGCGTTGCACTATGCCACACAAGGTGTGTAGCATTAGTGCAATTTGCTCAGTTGTAAACTCTCTAAACTTAGCTTGTGTGACAAAATTTTGTACTGATGCTATGCACTATGCCTAGCATTAGTGTATTTTTCTGTCTGACCCAAAAACTACAAGTATCTGAACTTCTCAAATTTCTAAGGCACATTTGCACTAATCCGTCGCACTGTGCTACGCATGGTGCGAAACATTAGTGTAAATGTGTGTGACCCTTGCAATTTCTTCCAACTTTCTTATGCAATGCCGGTCCACGAGCCCCAGACTCAATCCAGTTTTAATTTCTTGGGCTTTAGCTCAGACTTGAAAGCTCCAACTTGTTCGATTTTGCTCCTGAATATCTTTTTAACTCGAAATCACTTCCTGCAAGGTATTAAACACATAATAAGTGCTATATACTAACATTAAAGCTAGAAGACAAGTAAATGCAATAATTAGAGTGTAAACTACGACTAAAACACATTATTCTAGCTTACCATCAATTCCTCACACTTAAACCATTGCTCGTCCTCGAGGAATCAAACTACACTTCACATAGAGACGGCCTTCTTATCAGAAAACTTTCCTAACGCATCATGCCAAGAATATTTAAAACAGACTAAGCACCATATCATAACATCCTCGTCTCAAGACTCAACTCACTAGCACCACACATCTTTCACAACATGCTCACTTACTCTAACATAGAGGTTAAAGAATTCATCTTACTTTCGTAAATCATGTGCCTTCATACAAACAATAGAGAGTAGTTCCACACACAATAAATTTTACAAACAAATAGGAACTCTGGATAGACAGAACTAACTCACTCTTAGAAATAAAATTCATGTGCCACAGAAAATGTGCCATAGGCTTGCCCGTAGTGTAATAATCTACTAATTGAGCTCATTCAGTCAAAAATTAAGTAGGGCTTTATTTTCGTTATAATGTAGGATGCTGGACGGGTAGGATACATTTGGATATGGTGACTACACCTCCCTGAGCACTTTAATACATACAATTTCATAATTTAAATCCCACACCTATTTTGAACCAAACCCCAACCTTCACAATATAATAACCTTAAGCTCCCAATTTCTTTAAGCACAGACAAGATGAGAACTACCACTAGCAAGGGATCAATTTTTCTCTTTTCTACTACATAAACACTCTGTTTTTCTTCTTATGTTCAAAGTTTTGATTGATTTTTCTTTCTTTTTTCCCCTTCCAATTCCTTACATGTGGCTCTCATAATTTTTAAAACCATGCACCTTTCTCCTTTTTTAATAGTTCCACTGAAAAATCTGATCATATCTCCACTTAGCTTCTACAAGCTCATACAAATTCAAGTGCTCACGAGAGGTAAAATATTCAAATAGATAGATAATTCAAACAAATGGGTCAAGCTTGTGGTGTGATTGCCAAAGAAGTAGGATCACAAGCTCAAAAGGGCTAACTAAGATATACATTAACTAGGTGGGTAAAAACATATCATTGGCTCAACAAGAATTGCCTATATCACTTCCTAGACTGAGAAAAACTACTATTTCGCTTTGCAAACACACGGGAAAGTTCTAGATATCAACTGATATGCACAAAATATAACAAAACCAAGGGAAAATTGTTACACTACCTAAGAAAACAAAACACAAACAAAAACAAACGGCTAAACTTTTATTTTTGACTTTAATCCCTCAAGAAGACAGCCGAGGAAATTCATCGTCGAGAAAAGTCAATGTTTTTTAATCGACTACAAATCCATATATAATATATACATTCCCCACCCTATACTTTAAATTCTGGCATGTCCCCATGACACACAAATAAAAACAATAGGTAAAGGAAACTTCTTTGATTCATGTAGTCGGGGTCTGAATCGAAGTCGGGATCTCCTTTGCATGCCCGACCCAGAACATATATTCACGCTGAGAACTTATTTTCCGCCTTCTTTGGGTACACCCCACGCTTATCAGCTTCATTCTTTCCTAATTTCTCTTTCCAAGACCCCCCCCCCCCCCCATTCTCCCTCAATTTTGAAGACTAGCCTTCCATCCCCCACTTTGAGCATGAGCTGCCTTTCCTGAATATCTAGAATTGTTTTGCTCGTAGCCAAGAAGGGTCTTCCTAAAATTAGCGGGACCTCCCTATTCTCCTCCTTGCTCACCACAATGAAGTCCACCAGAACACAAATTTGTCTACCCAAATCAGCACGTCTTCCATTATCCCTTCAGGTATGATTGTGGTCTGATCCACCAGCTGCAAGGACACATGTATCGATTCGATCACTCCTAGCTCACCTTCTAGTTTCCTAAAAATAGACAAAGGCATAAGATTAATAGAAGCACCTGAATCACACAAAGATTTTTTAATTTTAGTACTTCCTAAAGAGAAAGGTATAGTAAAACTCCCTAGATCTCCACATTTTTTAGGGAGCTTATTCTGCAAGATGGCACTACACTGCTCTGTCAGCTTGACAACCGATGTCTCTTCCGCTTTCCTCTCATTGGACAATATCTCCTTCATGAATTTAGCATAAGCGGGCATCTGAGAAAGCACCTATTTGAAAGGTATATTCACATGTAACTGCTTGAACACTTCTAGAAAGTGCTCGAATTGTTTGTCCAACTTCTCTCTTCTTTGCTTCTGGGGAAAAGGTAGAACTGACATATATTTGCTCTTTTTAGTCTCATTATTTGTTGAATTATCATTTTTCTTATTTTTCTGAGCTCTAATCTTCCCCTTCTTCTTGAGATCATCCTCTACCATCCCTGCACCTCTTTGAATGTCATAATTTTTCTGCTCTTCCTCAATCTCCGCATGTCTTTCAATCGACTCATCCTTTTGATTTGCTATGGGATCCTCCAATTCGTGCCCACTCCTCAAAGACACTGCATTTATTGTCTCTTTTGGATTTCTTTCTGTATCAGCAGGGAGCATTCCTGGGACTCTTTTAGATAGTAGAGTAACTAGTTGCCCAACCTGTCTTTCCAGGTTTCGAAATTATGTTCCCAGTTCATTGATAGTTGCACCGTGGGCGTTCTCATCTGTCTTGATAATGGAGGCCTTTATCAGATCTTCCATGCTAGACTAACTAGTCTATGGAGGCTGATATTGTTGCCTCTTCTGATTTTGAAAACATTGATCTCCCTATCCCTGGGGTTTGGAGTTATTTTGATTCCATGAGTTCAGGCTACCACTTGGTGAATTCCAAGAAAAACCTGGGTGCCTTGTCCCATAGGATTGAAATTATTACCACTCTAATAGTTGCATCAATCAAAGCTTCCCACAATATTTACCATTTCATCTGCAGCTAAGGCCTAACACTCATGCGTTGGATGACCCATTCCACAGAAATCACAAATAGGTGATGGTTGTCTCTGGACCTTGGCTAAGGTCAACTTTCTTATCTCTTAGGCCATGGCGTCTAGTTGGGTTTGAATTGCCGTGTTAGAATCTACTTGATGAACCCCAACTGATTTTCTTCTATCATTACTCTCAACATACCACTAGTTAGCATCTTCAGAGAGCTCATCAAGAATTGCCACAATCTCTCAGGAGTCTTCTTCATTAAAGGACCTCCGACTGTAGTGTTCAGAGTTCGTCGTGAGGGAGGTGTCAGTCCGAAAGTCCTGGAGTTGCATCCACAATTCAAAATCGTTATGCTGACACTTCCTCACTATCTTATTGAATCTTTCCCAAGCCTCAAAAACTATTTTGGGTGTCCGTCTGGCAGAATTTGTGAATTTGCCTTCTGAACTTCATTGTTTTTGCAACTGAGAAGTAGTGTCAAGAAACTTTCTAGTCATATTTTCCCATATCCTGATCGACCCCGTTGGTAAGCTATGAAGCCCGTGCTTCGTGTCATCCTTCAGTGAAAAGGGGAATGCCCTCAAGTATACTGCATCTTTTGATACTCCGTTGTACTGGAAGGTGTTCATGATTTCCTCAAAATCCATCAAGTTAGGATTATCATTCACCTTCCCTATGAAAACACAATTATTCCGGATAGTTTGAATCAAGCCTTCCTTTAACTCGAAATTGTTCGATGCTACTGGTGGAGGTCTGACACTAAACAATCCTTGATTGTAGACTGATCTAGCATAATCACCCAATGCTCTACTAAGCCTGGAAACCGCATTCTCGAACTGGTCTTCAATAAAGGGTCGATTTAGATTGAAACTTCGACCCCCCATTATCTTCGATGGTCTCCTCAGCAGCCCGCACTGGTCGTGATGGCGCCTCTCGTGAGGACAAGGCCAGCCAACTAACCCAACTAGTCTCTTTCAAAATGGAAAAGCGTAAATGATTAGCAAAATATGACTTAATAATATTAATTAACGGAATTACAACCCAACACAGCCCAAATTGGGGTGTCACAAGTCACGAGCATCTATAAGGATGAAATTTACATTTACAAGTCTAGAAGTACACTGAACAGGAATAATGAATGTCATAGAAAGAAAACGGTGCTGCGAACGCTGGCAGTCACCTCGCTAAGCTCTTACAACTCTGCCTCCAAACAGCCTATACTCGCTGCCGGGTGAATAAATACCTGCAACTGCACAGGAGGTGCAGGAAGTAAAGTGAGTACTCCAACTCAGTGAGTAATAAGGGTAAATAACAACTGAGCAGTAAGAAATCACGTAAAGCAAGCCATCATGCTATATAGGAGCAGTGTAAACCCTTTGTGAAAACAGTGAAACTGTGAAATCATTATAAATATCTTGGCTCAGTTTAAAACCTCTTTGGAAAATATCTTTTTCCAACAGTTAAGCAAATGAATGCGAAACAAGTAGTGCCAGCAAGCACAAAAGTCAGCCCCTCGGGCACAACACTCCGTTAACAGATAACGCCAGGGTATCAGGTAATTATTGCAAGAAGTAGCATAAAAGCCAATGAAATAAGAGTGCAGAAATATTATGACAGATAATACAAATAAGAACAAATGCATGAGTGCAATGCAATGCATATGACGGTACACTCTAGTACCCACTGCAGCGTGCAGCCCGAGCCATCCATTTATTTATCGTCGACGGCGCTCACTGGGGGTGTGTACAGACTCCGGAGGGGCTCCTACAGCCCAAGCGCAATATCAAGCCATCTCGTGGCATCAACCAGGTTCTCGGCCTCAAGATCAATGTAATCCACCAGGCTCTCGGCCTCAATATCAATGTAACACTGCTGCGGCACGTAGCCCGATCCATGCTCAGTCCAAAAATGCACATAAGCCTCTTGGGCAATATTAAAATAATAGTTCTCATCTCAAAACGTCAACAAAATATGGTTTAGGTTTTCAAATCTTAGAAAGATGGCTGAGTTTGCGAAACAGTATTTAAAACCTTGGACCGAGATCAAATAATATGCAAAAATAATGCGAAAACAGTGATATCAATCCCTGAAGGATTCAAATGATTGGCACGAAGCCCAAATATGGCAATCAGCCCAAATTATGATGATAACAAGTAGTTTCAGTCAAATACGCAGTAATTTCATCAATCGGGACGGACCAAGTCACAATCCCCAACGGTGCTCTACCCCACGCTCGCTATCCGGCAGGCAAGTCACCTCAATACAGCACTATGATGTGCAAATCCGGGGTTTCGAACCCTCAGACTATCATTTACAATCATTACTCACCTCGAACCGGCGAAATCTCTAGCTTGCGATGCCTTTGCTCCTCAAATTGGCCTCCACGCGCGTCGAATCTAACCAAAATCAGAGCGAATACATCACAATATGCTAAGGGAACAAAGCCCAAGCGAAAACAATCAATAACGGGCACAAATCCCGAAATTACCAAAACCCGAGCCCCGGGCCCACTTCTCAAATCTCAGAAATTTTCACATCAACGGGTTCCTTATCTCACCACGAGTCTATACATACCAAAATCTCTCAAATCGGACCACAAATGGCCCCTCAAATCTCAAATTTGGAATTTCAAACTCAAGCCCTAATTTCTTACAATTTGGCTATATTCTCCTGAATTTCAAGGATGATTCTACAATAAAATCATGTTTTTAACTCATAAAACTTACCTCCAATCGATCCCAGTTGAAACTCTCTTCAATCCCCGTCCAAATGCTCTCCACAATGCCCAAAATGGTGGAAAAATGCGTTGAGTTCGCGGATGAAATGTTTATAACATTCTGCCCAGATCACTGTAGCTAACCCTATGCGATCGCATCCGAGCTACTGCGATCGCATAGCACAAATTTTCCAGGCCTCCAAAATGCCCTATGCGATCGCAACTGGACCTCTGCGATCGCAATGCACCATCCAACAACAGTGTGCGATCGCAACACCTCCCATGCGATCGCATAGCACAACCAAACAGCCCCTATAATTCCTTCTATGTGATCGCAGCCCTTGCTATGTGATCGCATAGAGCAAAATTGCTCTGCACTGACTGCTGCATTTCTGCAGCATTTTCCATCTTCAAAAATTCCCTTTAGCCATCCGAAATCACACCGAGGCCCTCGGGACCTCAACCAAAAGCACCTACATGTCTTAAAACATCATCCAAACTTGTTCCAATCATCAACACACATCAAACAACACTAAAATCATCAATTCTCATCGGATTCAAGCCTAAGTTCTTCCAAAACTTTCGAAACACGCATTCGATCAAAAACCCAACCAAATCACCTCCGAATCATCTGAAATTTTGCACACACATCCCATATCACCTAACGAAGCTACTGCAACTCTCGGAATTCCATTCCGACCCTCGAATCAAAATCTCACCTATCAACCGGATATCGCCAAAATGCTAAACGCCAATTCAAGCCTAATTCTACACCGGACCTCCAACATCAATTCCGATCACACTCTTGAGTCACAAATCACTTCCCGAAGCTAACCGAATCACCGAAAATCACATCCGAGCCTTCTAACTCATAAGTCAACATCCGGTTGACTTTCCCAAAACAAGCCTTCCTTAAAGAGACTAAGTGTCTCATTTCCTTCCAAAAATCAACCAAATTCAACTCGTTCACACAAGACACTGATAGTGAAGCATAACGAAACAGGAAATGGGGGAAACGGAGCGGTTCTCATTAGATGACGGGTCGGGTCATCACATCCTCCCCAACTTAAACAAACGCTCGTCCTCGAGCGTACCCAGAGTTGTCCTAGAAGCCAACCAATAGCTGAATGACCTTACCAAGCATATACTCGGGGGTGATCCCACGTCATCCTATCTCGCATAGGTCTGATAACACAACATAGCTGAAATTTCACAATCCATCTAGTCCATAAACCATAGAACCACATTGCACTTTCCCAAATCATACACAAGATCAGAACCTCACATCTATACTCAGAATAAGCCCGAACCAGCTGTAATAACCCATACCTGCAACCTCAGGTGCAATCATATGATATACCACATAACCCAAACACTCGAAACGATAACTTCTATTCACAGCAGTTGCCCAGAACACCCGAATACCGGGGGAAAACCTCTTATCAACTAAGGTCTTATTCCAATACTTTCATATACTGCCACCGATAAATGAAACACGAAATAAACCGTAACCATTTCTCAAATCAACCGTTCATGAAGCCACTTCCCTGTTGACTAACACCACAGCAGATTCCGAGCCGAACCTCGATATTATCCTTCCAACAAGCTGAAATCAAATCCGTTTGTATTCATTGATGATCCCAACGATCTCTTCTGACCAAACACACCATCCTGGTGGTATGACACCTCAATACAGGCCTAAGCCACAACTTGCATAATACGCGCACCAATAAGAACGGTCTGAACATACTCAAATCATGAAAAATGACTCAAACGAAAGAGTTGTACCTCAAGCTCATCAGTACCATCACAACACAAGGCTGAGACCCCTTCTCACATCATAGAAATAGAACACCTGAATCTACCCCGAAAGGTCATATCTCCCCGTGGCATCGCTACAATGTGCGATCCT